GTAGGACACAAGCTCTCTGGTGCTCCTTACCCCTGCAGTGGGCTTGTGCTGACACCCTACGGAAGCACCATTATGCTGGGACAAAACACTCCTCACCAAAGCTGCAGCACTTACTGCTGCTGGAGGTGCTGCTCTTGGTATGGAGTTCAGTTCCTCTTCCCGAGCTGGGAAACCCAGTTCTCTGGGGTGGTTAGGGCCAGGTGTTCTGGCCAGCTTCATGGACAGCAGAGGTGACTCGGACACTGTTCTGGCTCCCGCAGGGTGTCTCTCACTAACCAGAAGAGCTCTGAAAAACACTGGTCTAATAAGCCCCCCTACAAGCTACTTTCTTCATAAAATAAGTGTTTTCAGATCTATCAAAGGGCTCTTTTTGGCCCCTGTTGAAGTAAAGATTGGATATTCCTCTTGCTCTCTGTCTTCTCTCTTCACCTGTCTTCCAGTCAGTGTCTTATACTTCCCCCAAATCAATGTGCCTTTCTGCTCCCTGTTTTTGGAAGTCAGACAAGCACATTATGCTTCATGCCTCAACTTCTAGTCCCATCTCTGATCTCTTCATCTCTTAATGTCAACTGAAACAAAAATTCTACTAATTTCAGAATAAGTGAAAATAAACTTTAAAAAGATAATAATTGAAATGATATATTAAGAATAATCAAATAGAAATGAAGCCAGATGCCTTCCAATTAGAATGGATGGAAGCAGCATACTGGGAAAGCCATAGCTTTTTTCTTTCTTTCATTTTTCCATTTTGCACACAGGTATCTGAGCTGGACTGTGCTTTCTCTTTATGTATTATAATTATTTTTCAGGTAGATGCTGTTATGGCTGAGCTGAGTCTCAGCCACATTGCTGACAAAATAATTGGAAGCCGTATTTTTGTAGGAATTTCTGGGGGTGAGAGGCGTCGTGTTTCAATTGCAGCCCAGCTATTACAAGATCCTAGTAAGTACCACTGCATGGATTTTCAAAATAAAACAAAGTAGTGTCACTTGTACTCCTACTGTGGGCCTCCACAAACCACTTCAAAATATAAAAGCACTTAAAACTAGTCTAGCAGTGACAGAAAAAGATGAGCAGTAACTCAGATCTGCCATTAATCTATTAGTTGATCTTTGAAGCTAAACAATTTTAAAATCTTGGGGACTGAACACAAGTTTTACCTTGCATTTATCCATTTTTGGTCTTTTGGGGCTCACTCCTCTCTTGTATGAAGCTTTGGTTATGGCATATTAATTTTTAGGTTTTGAGTGCATTAAGAGCCCTGAGTATGCAAGCATGGAGCCTTGTAGTAGAGTAGCTGCCACTGAGCCATGTATGTGTGAGTGCCACGTACACATACGTATGTTCCAGAGCCACAAAAAATGCCATGAATGAAAATCAAAGCAAAATAACTAGAAGGATTAGCCACGGCCGACAGCACTGCAGATTTTGTCAGTTTTGAGGTGCCATAATCTTATGGAGTGAATGTATAACACAGGTTTATTGGATTCTGGAGTCCTCATAGCAGTGCAAATGAGCTAGGACTGGGTACCAGGTGGAAAAGGGCATTTAAATAGTCAAGTGAGGTATGATGTTGCTACTGGTGACTCATGGAGAGTTCATTTGGTGTAGTTATTGCTCAGTAAGTTCACTAAACTTTGTAGTAAACATTATAGTAATTCTGTGTAGATAAACCTACAGAGGGAGCACTCCTCGCTTATCATGATAAAGGTTGAACTGCCCTCTGCTGTGCTATGTCTCATCTATGCAAAAAAAAAAAGGATTTTGCTGTAATTTTTACCCTTCCATGTGCAATAAAATAATGAAGAAAATGCAGTTACCTCGCCCCTCAACTTCTCTCGTCTATGGAGTTATTTAGGCTGTATTTCAACAACTCTAACTTTCTTCATAACAAATTCTGTGTGTTTATGTAGATTTACTTCCGATTATAACTCTTAGCTAATTATGACAGTTATATTTGTATACCTGTTGAAATTTGTCATTATTCTATTTTGATTATTTGGGGATTTCACTTGAACTTAGAAAAAACAATATTATCCTGCAGTAGTATTTTATGTCCTTATTCCTAGTCGTTAAAACTGAACTACTGAAGCTAACTAAAGCTGAAAGATCACACCATGGCAATACCTATGCGTGCTCTGCTTTACATTTAAAGCAATTTCTGTACTATTTGCCAAATTAGCTTCAAAGGCAGAAGCCATAACATTTTCTCCCCCTTCACCTGAGTTTTAACGCTATTCCGTATCGCTTCACAGAGGTTATGCTACTTGATGAACCAACAACAGGGCTGGACTGCCTGACTGCAAACCAGATTGTCTCACTTCTCGCAGAGCTTGCCCACAAAGACAGGATTGTGATTATTACAATTCATCAGCCTCGCTCAGAACTCTTCAGGGTAAATGATGTCTACTCACTATTCGCTGGGGTTTTTTGTCGGGCTTTTTAGTACCTAGGTTTGTTTCAGGATAAAAGTTGAAGATGCGGTATAGTTGCCTTCAAATGTTCTCTTCCTTCCCCCCAGCATAAATACAGGCTTGTCTTGAACTTTGAAGCCCGGCTAGTCACAGACAGCACTGTGGAAATAGTGAGCACACTGACTGTGTGCCTAACCTTTCTGTTAAGCAGCTTCCCAAACCAAAAACATTGGGAGAAGCCATGTAAAACTCTTATGTGTGCAGGCACTGGAAAAACAAACCCTTTATAAAGCGATGATATGGAATGGACAGGGTAAAAAAAAAAAAAAATAATCTTTTTTACCTCTTTGTGTCAAGTCATGTGGGTACACTTTGATCATGTGGGGGTGCAAGTCTGCCTTGTGGGGCTTGTGCTAGGGAGACAGCTGCTCCCTTCCCGTCACTTTTTCACACTTTGCTTTTCTGACACATCCACTGCCCACCATGAGAACGTGCTCGGCACCTCTTCCCCGCTGACTGAATTGAGTGTGAGTGGTCCTGGAGGCGGAGGGGAGTGACGGTGCTTCTCTGGACTGGAAGCAGTCCTGGTGCCTCGGGAGTACAGATTGATCATAGTTGGTGAGAACCCTGCCCTTGGCAAATGCTCACCTGAAGAGCAGCGCTCTTAAAGTCCTTAAGCACTTCAGGGTAATCTTCCCAGCAATTCGGGGCTTTTACAGACTGGGGCTATTAAGTGCCAAAGGAGGTCAGTCAGTAAGTGAAGGTGCATTAGAAGCGAAGCCAGAAGTCCACAGCTCCCATTTCTGTTTGTGGGTTACCTCTGTATGCTGCTGTCACTGACAGTTTTGAGAACTGCTGGTTTTAAGAGCTTAAAGATATGTCATCTTGCATAACCACTGAGAGGAGTGAAAGAAAGGACAAGCTTCCTTTGAGCAAAATATACTAAGGAAGTTTGAATGTGTCAAAACTGTTTTTCATGTCTAAGCATTTTTATTACCAAGACAGTAGCTGTACTCAAGAATTAATGCACTTCTCAGTACATATACTTAATATTTTAATTTTCTCCCCTCAGTTATTTGACAAAATAGCCATCATGAGCTTTGGAGAAATGGTTTTCTGTGGAAACCCTATGGAAATGATCACGTTTTTTAGTGACTGTGGCTATTCTTGTCCTGAGCAATCAAATCCTTTTGATTTCTATGGTAAGTGTGTCTAAGCTGTTTTGGTAAGAATATGAGTTTCCTTTAGACAAACATGTTCTTTTGCCCAGATTAAAGTTTTTCCAGAGACAGAAGTGTGTTTGAATCTTTCCCCAACTTTGTAATTATTCTTAGCTCAGAGAAGAGAGAGGGCATGTAACCTCCACTGACCCCATGAATCAGAAAAAATTTGGAGTAGACCTGAAACACAGTAGAAAGAAGGAAAGTACCAATAAAAAGGAATCTCAGCTTCATCTAACCTGTGGATTCCTGATGGCATCTCCCTATGGCTGTTCACTAGGCTCTGGAAAATCAATTCGATCCCAAACCCATGGAAAGTCCTGTGCTCTTCTGGACTCTGTGATGCCATGCAAATGAAAATGGTCATTAGGTGGAGGGAATGATGTAGAATAAATACAAGATAACTTGAGGCACCAATTTTCTAGAGATTCTGAGTTTGAGTTTTCTGAAGGTTTGGGAAGCTGCGGATGCCGGGATGAGCCACTGGAGCAGAACATACAGATGCTTCAGGACACCTTGATAGGAAGTTTTTTGCAAAAGGTGGAGAGTACTGGTTTATCAGTTTTTCAGGATGAAAGAAAGTGTCAGCACGAGACTTTGGAAATGAGGCTTGGTTTTGCTGCAGGGCAGCTGTGTATCTGAGCTGGCCAGACACACGTTTGAGGAGAATGTGTGTGTGTGTGTGTGTGTGTGTCTATGTTTACACATATCCATACATGCAGATGTCTCTCTTTTTAAACCTAGTATGCTGGCTGATTTCCGACAATACTAGCTCAGCATTTAGCAAGAAATTTGACCAATTCAAAAAGCTGTATTCAGAGAAAGCAGTGTTTTCCTATTGTCTAGGTGACATCCTGAGCTCCGAGAGGAGAGAGGATGGTTGTTGACATAAAGATGGAATGGGATGAAGCTGAAAATACTGGTGTGACAGTGAGGATAATTTTGCCTTCATGAATTTGAATAGTCTTGAAAAGCATAGATGATTTGAGATTTAGACCCACTTTTAAAAAAGCTTGGTAAAGAGAGTACTGCATTCTTCAAATGTCAACCTTTGAATGTGACAAGAAAAGGAAAAAATACAGTTTAGAGCAAAGAATCAGCAGAATATTTAGTCTTTGGAAAATTGGTAGTTTATATTTTTTGTGTAATTTAATGATGTGAATGAAGGGACAGATTCTGGTAACATTTACACCAACAGCAGAGGAAAATAGATCCTAAGCCTTGAATATGGATTATATTTTTGAAATGTCACATGTTGCATGTATTAAAATATGTACAAAAGCTTGACAGGCATGGTCTAGTGACTAGTCAGTGTTACCATTTTTTTAAAACACCTGCTTGAAATTTATTTCCTGTGTGACTTCCAGAAAGTCACACCTGCAAGGTTTTAAGAAGCGTGTCTACATTTTGGATGTTCATATTTACAAAAGCAAAGACTTCGTTTTGGTTATGTTTGCCACTAAAGACAATTCTGCTGAATGTCCAGCCTTCAGAACACCGGGGAAGTGCATTCATAAGCATGATTTGGGTTTGGGGGCCAAATCTTGGACAAGGCCTCCTTTTCTCTTGTTCAGTTTGTAGGCTAAGCAAAACACTGTGAAACTCAAATCTAAGGATACCAGAAACCTTAGGAATAAAGAACCGATAAAGACATATTATCAGTTAGATGTAGAAGAGCAATATAAAAACCTGTAAGACAGCTATTCCGGAGAACAGTAATCTAGTTTTGGAAACATTAGATAATTCACTGCTATTTAGGGGAAAAGGACATTTCTAATGCATTTTAGCACTTATTGCTGAATCCGTAGGACTTGTACAAGTAGCACACACAAAGATCCTATCTACCAGTGAAAAAATTGCTGGTGTCAGGAATAGATATATGTGGATTTATTAGAAGGAAAGATTCATACTGGTAAGTATTTACCTTTTGTAAGTTCCATGGCAGTAAGGACTATTTTCTTCAGCTTGGGCTGAGCCTGCTGGCCATCCTCTAACTGCACATGAGAACAGAAGTGTGGCTGAGGAGGTGGGGGAAACCCAGCGCAAGGCTGCAGGAACAGCTCAAGCAGAGAAGAGCAGTGTCTGCAGCATGAGCTCAAATTAACTGAAAAATAGAACTCCGTGGTTATAGAGGAGCAGGCAGAGGACAATGGAGAGGAAACAGGGAGTCATGTCTGACTATTTGCCTGAAAAAAATGAGAAATACTTGACCAGAAAGTCCCCTCTTCACCCTCATCAATACCCATCCTCAGTCGGTGCTCTATCTTGCTCTTGGCAGCAGCACCACAGCCCTGTGCTGTGTGAGGAGAAGGCTGGAGGTCTGACCAGCGCACCGCTCAGTCCTTGCGTTTCCAGATCAAGGACTCAAACATCAGGGTCCTACAAATGCCACAAAACAAAGAGACTTGTTGTGGCTCCACAGTTTTTCAGTAATGCTGCTTCTAACGGGAGGGAGAAGTAAAAGAAAATGAGATATTTTCAGTGGACCTTTTCTTCTTTCGCAGATTTTAGGACAGAGACAAGGAAAGCTTAGTTGCAAGGGGGTAAGAGATACGAAGGCAAAGTGATGTGTATATATAGTAAACACTTCGTAAATTTACAGTGGATCTGACATCTGTGGACACCCGAAGCAAGGAACGTGAACTTGAAACCTACAGTAGGGTTCAGGTTATTGTATCAGCCTACAAAAAATCGGAGATCTTTAGCAAAGTACTGGCAGCCATTGAAAAGACAAAGTGTACGAAAGAGCTGCCACCAATACCATTCAAAAACAGAGACTCACCCAGTACCTTTTACCAATTATGGATTCTTTTACGGTAAGATTTTTTTTGTTTCCCCCCCCTTTCTTTAAGAAAAAACTTTTTTCTTATCAACTAATCTTCTGAGATTTTTTACCCATATACAAATGCACTTTCTTGGTTATTTTGGTCTACAACTGTACTTCCCTCTGTCTCTTTTAATATATTACATTTTTGTGGACACGCAGTGCACGTAAGATTTTTTCAAAGTTAAATACCCTACTGGCACATGGTCGCTCACAGCTAACAGGTACATTGTTATTGTTTTGCTTCATCACCAGGAGGACAACAAGGAACTTCTCCAGAGATAAGATGGGAATCATCATGCGTCTCCTCCAGAATCTGTTATTTGGCTTGTTTATAGCATTTTTCCTTCTTAGACTAAGGAATGACCTGGAAAAAGGAGCTGTGCAGGACCGTGTGGGGTTTGTCTACCAGTGTGTGAGTGCCCCCCCCTACACAGGAATGCTCAATGCTGTTGCCCTTTGTGAGTTTCTGTCTTGTGTTTCGTGCAGCAGCAGGTATTGCTGTTGCTATTTTATAAATAGGGAAAAGTCTTTTTTTTAAGATAGTAGTTTAAAAGTTTGTAAAGGCTTTAAGTAAATGAAATTCAAAGGCAAAGCGACAGGAAGCTTCACACCACAGAAAAAAATCAGCCCCACAGAGGGGCTCCAGGTTCACTGCACTTAATGAGGGAATATGCCCTGATCCCTGCCTCTCCCTTTCACAGGTCTCCTGTGTATGGAGGCCTTACTCTAAGCTGTGTAAGAGTCCTGAGCTTGCCTGTGTGTAGCATTATAAGGGCAGACCAAAGTCTAGGTCTGTAGTTAAAATCTTGAGATCAAAACCAAAGACAGAGAAGGAATGGAAGTACAAAATGGCTTTGACAACGATTAAGCATGATTAGTTTTAAGACTATTTTGTGCTGATTGTATTTTACTTGGAGGATGTTTCTTACAGCTCCCATACTAAGGCCAGCAGTATTTACAGCCCTAAAAACTGTTCTAGGGAACGTACACTGCTGTCATCACCTTGAGATCAGAGCACCTCAAGAAATTATCCAGCGACAGCATGTCCTCAATTTGTGTTGGCAAAAAGAGAAGGCTGTCCTGCATGCTGCCTAATTAGGCCTCTTTCATTAAGCTTACCAACTATTGCAATCTGCAGGGAGCGTGTTTTGCACTTATAGTGGGTTTAGACAGAATGTTTCTGATATATTCTCAAAATGTTTCTGATATATTCTCATAGTTGTCTCTGTGCTTCAGGTGATTTTTGCTAGCAACAAGTCGTGGCCTCTTTATTCAATAATGACTTAATTTATTCTTATATATTTAATCCAGTCTCACCTTTACGTGCTGTCAGTGACCAAGAAAGTAAAGACGGCTTATATAAGAAGTGGCAAATGCTTTTAGCTTACATAGTACACATCCTGCCCTTCAGCGTCATCAGCATGGCAATTTTCAGCACCTTTATATACTGGTAAGCCCTTACACCTTCCATTGGATTGTTATTTTCTTTTTGTTATCACTTTCAATTCCCGTGTCAGCAGCAGACCTCCTGGCATGGCTTCCTGCTATTGTGTCTCAGAATGATTACAGAGAAAGCCTAAGGAAAGGTGACACATTTTTAGCCCTTCTCTTTCAGGCAGTGTTAAAACACTCTCTGAGTAAGTAAAGTTACCAGGTGACCTGGTGTAGGTGATCCTGCTTTGGCAGGAGGGTGGGACTAGATGGTCTTTTGAGGTCCCTTCCAACCCCTGACATTCTATGATTCTCTAAGTAACTTGGGAGGTTTTAATGGGCCTGGGAAATTTCTTATTCTTGTGTCATGCTAACAGCAGGAAGTGTCATTTTACATTACATTAAGAAAAGCAGGAAGACAACAGTAGGTATGTGACAGTAACAAAGCTTCCGACTTCCTGGGACATTTGGAGTTGAGCTCCAGCATATGGAAGTTATGAGGTCTGGATCCCTGTCTTCTGCTGTCCAGAGAGAGGCACTAAGTGAATTTCTGATGAGGGAGAAGGGGTTTGATCATAAAACTTGATTTTTTTTTTTTTAATTTACTTCCCCCCCCCAGTGCATTAATTTTCTTGCATCATTGTGAAGTAGTACCTCAAAACGGGGTGATGAAATTCTCCATCTATTTATTGCCTTATCTATCATGTAGGTCTGCTCTTCCTTAATTTCTGTTCCATTGATTTCTTACCTTCCGTTTGCTTATTCTTAAGCGAGTCCATGGCTGCTTATGTAAACTAATAGCAAAATAACAAAGACCAGTTTCTGCCCTTCAGTCTTTTTCTGGTTGTTTGTTGTTGTTGTTTTCCTACCCATGAAAGGAGTGTAGTGCACTAAAGTTACTCTTTGTTTTCATGCTGCAGTTGACAGTGAAGTTGCAATCAGATGGCAGTCTGTAGTACAGTGTGTGTACCAATGGATAGCAGGCTTGGTTTGCGTACTGGATGCACATTCTCTGGTGAGCTGTTGAGAAATGATAACTGGACAGACCCTTGTGAAGGGGAGAAAGTGCAGGAGCTATTTGGATGTAGCTGTGCCTGTGAGTGCTCTTACTCTGCAATAAAATGCTCTGGGGCAGTCTGGAAATGGATGAAATAAAACTATCAGATTGCTTGGACTAATGCTAAGAACTTCTGCGCAGGGAGCCAGTCTGCCACAGGAGTTTTGCAATAGCTGTTTTCCCATCTAGAAAAACCTGGGGAAAAAGATCACTGTTTTCTTCCTCCTCCAGGTCTGCAGGGGGAAGTGCTCAGCCTTTACCTATTCTTTCCGTTTGGGATCTGAGTAACAGTGGGCTCCTAGATTAAAAGATAAAAGCTCCGAGAGGGAGATTTCTACTCCTCCAAATGTGAGGACTTGCCTGCATGGGTTGCTTTGGGTTTTTTTTGTTTGTTCTGGTTTTATTTGTTGTTGTTGTAGTTTGGTGCTGATACTAAAAGCAGCAGTTTTGATCAAGCAAGGCTGTCTTTATCTCTTTAGCTACCTGGGCTTTTATTTCTGCAAGCTGCTCCTCCTGAACAGTCCTTTCTCACAGACAGGCAGACAGTACTCCCCCTGCCACTAAGCGTTTAGAGGCTGCGCTGTGCTCTGCGGAGCCCTTTGGTTTCTGCCCGCTAGCAAGCTGGTGGCCAAGAAGGCAGCCGTTTGGAAAGCACCTTTTGAGGCTCAGTGAGGGAAAGCTTGTGGAGCTTCTGAAGATCACAAGCCACTATTAGTCACTCTCACTCCTTAGCAAACAAGAAATTTGTGTGGGCAGAGACTTTGCCCTTGTGCTTTAGTAGCCTCAGATACAATCAACAACAAAGAGTGAGGTTCTGGTTAATGGATAATATTTATAGATATTAGCCTTCGTGTAGCTTTGCTACCTTGTGCTTGTTTGGAAGCCATCAGTGATGTGTCAGAGTGATTTCATAGCGCCCTTAGACCTCTTAGCAAGCAGTTTCTCTGTGAAATTTTGAAGATTTTATCTGTGCAGAACTACACTTTCCTGGAGGAACTAACTTTTGGAGAGGCTTTGATAGCCCCTGGCACGGGTTCTTACGAGCCGTTTCCCTGAGAGTTTGTGTTTGTAGGGTCAGACAGTTTGAGTGGGACAGACCCAAACCCTTACCTGATCAGACAGAAGGCAGGTCTGGCCAAGAACGAATACACCTACTTTTGCAATCAAGTAAATGTACTTGGTTTGTGCAGATTTTCCTAGCTAAAGATACCCTGGGGAAATGTTCTAACAGTTTATATCATCCTACCAGTCTATTGCTGCAACATTCTGTCTTCTGAGCTGTTTTTTTTCCTTTTCTTTTAGGCTTTCTTCTCTTTCTATTCCTACCCCAGATTTACTAACCTGTATCTACCTAGTGCTGTGTAAAGTATTAGAGCACCTCAGAGAAGGTGTTGCTTTTATGCTAGCACTTTTTGGAAAGCTGTTTCTCCTGCTCTAATCTGTGATTAAAGGTTGTTAAATACCTGTTAGCTCACTGAATATTTAATAGTTGAAGAGTCAATGTTCAGCCATCTATTTATAACAGAGATTATTTTGGTCTTACCCATGAAAAATGCTACAGGAGAGCCTGTGAGCAAATTAATGCTTCTATTTTAAGACTGTGTGCGAATGTGGTGGATTAAAGAAAAGACATAGGGCCTTGCACTGAGCAATGAAAAAGAAAATAAAATGTTGAATAGCTGCTGGTTAACTGCGTGCAGTCTGTACCTAGCATGAGACAGTTTTGGTACGATGTATTTGGAAAAAGAGCAATACGCCACCTTGTAATAAAAGGTTTGTAAGGCTGAACTAGGTTTGCCAGGCAATTCCTGGCTTCTCGTAACTTTTTAATCTTTAGTACAGGTTGGGAGGACTTTTTTCCTTGGTAAGCTAGGGAAAAGCTGGGAACAGCATGTTGGATTAAAGAGTGCAGGAGTATGCAGGAAACTACATTTGGATAAATTGCATGGGTGGCAAATTCAATTAGCCTTCCATTTAATTGAGTATATTCATTTTTACATTTGCATGCACAGTATCCGATGTGCAAAATTCCATCCATTAAATATCTGCCTAAAGATGTTCTTCAGATACGTTACTTACATAAATAACTCCCACTGCATAGACTCTAAAAGGAGGAAGATGTTAGTTTAAGGGATTATAAAAGCTGCCATGGTTATCTTGAAACAACAAGCATTTCTGGTACAATTATATACATTATATATATAATATATCATATATTCCATCCATTAAATATCTGCCTAAAGATGTTCTTCAGATACGTTACTTACATAAATAACTCCCACTGCATAGACTCTAAAAGGAGGAAGATGTTAGTTTAAGGGATTATAAAAGCTGCCATGGTTATCTTGAAACAACAAGCATTTCTGGTACAATTATATACATTATATATATAATATATCATATAT